CCCATTTTGTTCAATTTTTGAAAAGTTATCCTGCACGCCATTAAGTTGTAAAGAATCAAATGTGGCAACATCAACATATCTAATTTGTATAGAATTCAAAATATACAGTATTTGGTTGATTCTGAACCAATTTTTGAATTGAAAATGCTCAGTACTAACAGATTCAATTCACTGCTCCCTGGCAGTGATGAACTCAATATACTTAACTGCTCTCATACCTATAATGTGTGACTGGTGACCAAGTTATTTTTGATTTGCAATTTGAAAGAGGCTAGGTAGCATTCTTGATTAGTTACTCCCTCCTGATAATCCAGCTATACTTGAGTTTGTATAGATTTGAAGCAGAAAAAGTAGGTTACACAGAGATATGGAGGGAAGGCAAAAAAAAAAGGGTAGATTGATCAGAAAAGATGTCAATTTCTGCTACGGACAAAGAAACCATGGTTCTGAACATTAGCAGGTGAATAAATGGGACCTCGACCTGGGATTAGGGTTTTTCTTTTCTTTGTCCCAACACTTATGTTTTTGTTTTCTTTCCCCGTTGAATCTCTGTGACATTCTGAATCTTGCACATAGACACAGATACATACAACAGATATACACAACAGACACACTGATCTGGTTTATGAATATGTATCCTAGGAAAATAAAGTGGAGATGACTTGGCTCACCCATAGAGAAAAAGAAAAGGAAATTTACAATTTGTCCTTACAACATGAGTGTACTTCACTGGAGCAAAAAACTGAATGTCCTTGGAAGACAGACTTAGACATATTCTTGTAATGAGGTTTTTGGCAGGTTACTTGTCTCTCATTTCCTCTTGTCTGCCTTTTCCAAAAAAAGGATATTTTGTGATTGGCCCATTCCCATTGCATGCTATTTTGTAAATCCTCTCATGTCCATCATTTTGTGATAAGATTAAAAATCCACCAAGCTTTCAAAATTAAGATGAGCCTCAAAGGTTGGGTGTACCCATAAAATGTGCAAATATTGTTAGTATTTGCTCAAGCTGTGTTTTCAATAGGATTTATTTCCACTGTGCCAAGAGTTGCATTTGTACATTTTGCTGGAAATGGAAACAAATTAAGCATCTTTAATTTCTAAACTAGTTTCTTAGGCTACAATATGGTTTAGAAATAAACTATTATATGACTTAATTCTCATTTCTATACTTTACATCTAAAATTTACATTAAATCAATGCGAGAGTTTGAATAAAGTCTAACAGAATTATTGTTGCTAAAATAATTGCTGTTAAAAACTAAACAGTAAATATGTCCAATAATACTTTTGAAGAGTATTTACATTACATTTTGTACTCAAATTTAATACTCAAGTATTCTTGGTATTCTGATTTTTAAACCATCAATTCAATGAAATGCTCTTCATGCAATAACATAATAAAATAATGCTATAAAAGGGAGTATATTTTAATACAAATTTCCTCATTTTAACCTTGTTTTAACCAAAAATGTAATATCTTCTATAATTTTCACATACCAGCAAGATACAATTAACTCAGTAGCTGTGTTGTTTTGAAAGCAATGTGTGTTTCAGGAAAAAAAAAAACATAAATTCCACAGCTCAAATTAAGTAAAGAATTATATATTCTGCTGCATTTTGAAATGGCAGAGTTGATTTGTTTAATTGAAGGATTTATGAGGAAGAGCCATAGATTCGTTCTTTGTACGAAGAAGATTCATATTTAAACCCATGTATATTTTACATTATTGTTTTACAAAAAATGTCTTCATGCTACAAGAGATTAAGTCTAATGCCAAAATCCGAGTCAGTCCCTGACATATGATGTGAAAGGTCATCTCACCTTTCAAATGGATGAATTTCTAGAACTCCTTAATCCTGCTAAGAAGAACACCACATGATATTTATCAACATGAGTAAAATCATATTGACAAGCCTGCCTGTTGGTACCCACATGTACCACTTGGTTTGTTTTTCAAGCTCTGTACAGCATAGCAAGATCAAGGAAGCAAGAATTATGCAGATTTGATATCTTTAATGCTACTCTAGGTAAATGTAAAATCTTAAAAACTATAATAAGAATTTCTTGCTTTCATTTGTAGTGAACTAATTAAGAATAAGTCTCTTTGAATACTTTCAAATGCTTCTTCCCAGATTTGTATCATCTCCATTTCCTGATGTTTATGCTAATGTCCTCTTCCATCTTTTTCCCAACCTCCCATAATCTGTCATACTCACAAGTTCAGTAAAGATGGGAATGTTGAAAAAAAATCATAAAGCATTATGGCAATGTGGGTAATACCTATACCTATTCAATCCTTTTTTTCTTTTTCAATGACATCATCAAAATGTGGAGGCAAATAATTGATTTTCAGTGTAATGTTTCCTTTTCAAAAAGAAGAAGAAATCCAAAGAGCTAAACTTAACTCACTTATTTTGTTTTTCTACTCCCATCAAAATTTTGCTCTTGTGATTCTACCTCTTTATGCATATGGCTACATTCCCTGTAGGCATCATAGTTTTATCTCAGAATTGTATAAATGCACTATAAAACTTACCCCTGCTTAACAATAAATAACTATAGAAAGTGCATATATTTTAAAGGGCCAGGTCAACATTAAGGTCTAAAAGCTGTTAAGAAGGCAAAACTAGTGCTGTGACTCAAAGAAAACAGTAAGCAATATCATGCATATGGCAGAGAAAAACAAAAGTTATCAAATTCAAACTAGGCACGGATCTTAAGAGTGGTGGGTCAGCACCAAACAAAAAAAGCATGCACCTTCACATACAGAAAAATGTACCCATCCCAAAGAGTTGCAAATTAGTTGTTGAATCTGATTTTACAGACAATCTCATTCTATTTTATCTTACTGGAGCCAAGTAGGCACCTAATCAGGGCAGGACAAAGCTGGAATTTATTAGGCTAAATAAAGTACAGCCCAGGTGCAGAAGAGAAGTGCACCAAAATAAGCCTTGGTAGAAGCAGTCCTGAATTTCTCATAAATCCATATTGTTTTTATTTGTCAGAAAAGGAGGTTTCTTTGAACAATTTTTATGAAACATTTCTTTTTTTTCTGTATTGCATCTTTAATCACATTAGCAGCTTGCTGTGATGTACACAACTTTCCTTTGAACTCAGAGTTTTCAGATGATAATAATTTGAAATCAGAAACAGGAACTAAGCATTCAAAAGCCATATGGTTCCAAAGCCATTAGGCCATTCCTATAATTTTCAATTGTACAAGAATTAAGGGTTGCTTCCAACTGAAAAAATCATTAGAGATATGTTAAGATATTTAAATTTAGTAGCTGGAACAGTGGGGTTGTACAATGAGCCAGAACACACAGTTATAGTTGATTGGTTGGAGAGTGATGGCTCCTGTGTGAGGTAATCTTCACTGTGATTGGTTGCTATGGGTGTGGAGGGGGAGTTTCCCTTTTCCCCCTGCCTTTTTTCTCCTGTGTGCTCTGTGTTTTACCTCATGATGTACTGATGTGCCTGACTACCTTGTTTGCATTTATAAAGATAAATGTAAAATAAATTTATTTATATAAAACTACAAGTTCATGTCAGCATCTCTAAATCCATTTGGTCACCGGCTGCCCAATTCCTTGACAAGATGTACGTAAGGATATCCTCAAAAAGCACTCACTGCTTCTAATCAGATAATCTCCAACATTCTCCCAAAGGAAGATCTTGAATTCAAAACCACTTACAGATAGTGGTTTATGACCTTAATGGAGCCTGCCCTTACAGTGGTCTTAAAGCAGATCACCCACATGACCAATTTGATTTTATGACCTTTTTTGGCATAGTGTTTAAGTGAATGCCGCAATTGTTAAGTGATGCTTCAGAGATAGACCGGCTGAGCTGGGAGAGGAGTCAAATGGGAAATCAGTTTTGAATCCCTATATGGGCATAAAAGGGAGAGCTCTGCCCCCCCCTCCCCCTGAATGCTGTTGAACCTTATCTAGTCTGACCCAAGTACAAACCGCCAGTCTGAGAAGATTCCTGTATTGTAGGCATGAGCAATAAAATAGCTAACTGAACTCTTTGGCAGTAGATCTGATTGTTCGTACATGACATGAATCCATTGTTCACTATGGGCCTGTTTTGCCAAAAACCAGAAGTAAATGCCGGATTTTGGCAAACACATTATAAAACACAGTCAAGTGACTGCAAGTTACTACAAGCGGCTCAATTTGAACCAACTGCTGTGCACTCAAAATACGGTTAAGTGACTGAGGGGGGGAGGGGTTGGCCATCGGAACAGGGTCATAAGTAGCCCTGAGGAGGTCCATCATAATTTCGGTAAGTCCACTAAGTGACTGGTCATAAGTCGAGGATTGAGGATTTTTAAGAAATATACATCCATGTTTTTTTAAAGTGATGAAAGCAAAAGAATACGAGGTACAATTTCTGTGATCTCAAAAAGTTACAGACAGAATGAAAAAGCAGACCTTATAACAGAAATGGGTAGGCTTGGTGAGAATTTGGGGGGATCTTTAAGGGTTTTCTGGAAATTTTGAAAACTTCCTGCAAATGGTTGCCATGAAAGGATTGCACATTTCCAGAATGACTGGCATGATGAGTGCAGCTAGTCACAAAATGCCCAAAATACCCCCAAATACCCCAAAGCACCCACAAACTACAGTACCCAAAAGCAAACCATTGCTTCCTGCCACCCCTACAAGATGAACATTCAAGATGCTTCCTATCCTAGTTTTGCTTTGTTGTTTTCTGAGGAAGTACAACACATTCTCAAGCAAAGCATCTTCCATTATTTTTCTGTGTAAGATTTTATTTTGTCTTGAGACTTTCTTATATAGATGAACCATGTCACATCTTAAATAAGATTTCATCTAAAAGTAGAGACAGAAAGCTTATTTATGTGGAGGTATCAATAAGCACATTAATGTCATATATGCTATTTTACATATCTCTTCTTTATGATCTTCCATATGAAGTAGCAGTACCTATAGTATAACTATAGTTACACTATCTCTAGCCCTGATACTTAACTAAAAAAAAGTTAAGCTTAAAATTATAAATGTCTCTATGGGACCTAATACACAGAGAAACAATTAAACTGATAGTGGACATATATTGATAATTATACATATATTTGTTGTAAAGCAGCTAGCAATGTTATACCAGTATCTACCTTAATAAATTATGTTAAGATCATAAACCGATGGTTTCTGATGCTTTGTTGTACTGTATTAGATTTTTAAAATCCAATAAAAGCTACCTCTTAACTTCTGGCTTAAAGAAAGGAAGGCTATGTCCTTACCAATGCTAAATGAGCATTTACTTTTCAACCTTTTTTCCCTCCAAGAGTTCCTTCCACCCCCTTCTTCAATACTTCGCACTGCCTATGAACACACTCAGAAAGCTATTGAATGTGTTGCTTAGCAATGCAGCATTTTCAACCCCTCACCATCTCCAAAGATTCAGCAACTAGGCCAACCCTCTCCATTAGATGCTTGACAAAGAGTTAGTGGATTCATCCCTCCCTTTTTCTCTTTCTTCACACAATAAACTGTAGTTTAAAAACAAAATCTCGGTCAAGTCAGTCATGCGAATAAACTTACTCGCTGCTCTTAAAATTATTAGCCGGAATCAAAATATGATCCTTCACAAAATAGAATTGCTACCCATGTTTATATTCTGACAGCAAATCAGTCTTCATTTAGTTACACAGCCATTACCTTAGAAAAGAAAAATGAAGAGAAAGAAGAGAAGAGAAGAGAAGAGAAGAGAAGAGAAGAGAAGAGAAGAGAAGAGAAGAGAAGAGAAGAGAAGAGAAGAGTAGGAGAAACAAAGCCATCTGATGATATATAGAGGAATATTTTTTTAAAATTTATAATACTACAGTATATATTACTAAGTAAAAAAATTTAAATTGTTCTCTTTCCAGCGCAACTGAGCTACAATTTTATAATTTGAAGGTGAGTGATAGTTGTAGCAGATGGGAATATATTATATATTGTAGTATCCTTCTTATTTTTTCTTTTAATTTTGAATGGATAAGATTTGGGAAAAAGCAATTCTTTGTAAAACAAAGTCATTGAATTCATTACTACATATATCTTCTTTTGAAAAAAAAAGGTTTTTAGAGAGATGAAAATTCCAGGCACAACTATTGTTTTGCACTAGTTTACACAGAAACTGTCTAACATATGATGGGGTGGTCAGTATTCCACCTGGAAAACATGAAGGACTGAGTGTTTATTGTGCAGATAGTAAGGCAGCAAGAGACAAAATAAAGCAAGGAAAAAACAAGGAAGGAAGTAATTGGGGGGAAGGAGCAGAACGAAGTTGAGGCCTGCAGAAGGGATTGTCTCCAGGCCTCAACCTTGGCAATGCAACTTAAAATGGCTGCCATTTAAAAAAAAAAACTTTTGTTAACTCAAATATAAGATTTCAGGATAAGAAGAATGTTGTTATTCTCCTAATAGCATCACCTTCACTACAATATCATTTCTGCTACAAATTAATACAAAGCATATGAGATTTAATTTTCTACCATGTTCTTTAGGCCATAAACTTGATTAATATATATATATCTGTCACATTTCAGAGTCTTGAAAATGTATATAAGTTATACCATGATTTCATCTTTTGCAATCTGCAAACCAGTCTTCTTTGTACCCGATAGTGCTTTTAATTTTGTATTTTATTTTACTCTGATGTGTTTTGATTATGCTATACTGTACAATGCCATAATTTCACATTACTAATATGTTCCTTTATAATGATCAGTATATTCCCTGTGTAATGTAATTTCTAGTTATTAAAAGACAAAAAGCATTTTTGCATACACACGCACTAGTTCCCAAACTGAGAACTTGAAATGCCATTTTTGCTTAAAATCAAGTTTCATTTATTCTTTCATTTGATTTGGTCTTTCACTTGAATCCAAATTAATATAGAAGAGAATGGTCTTCAGATGAATTTCCCAGAAGGCTGTCATTTACAACTAAATATTTTACTGCTGCAGTTTAGCTAGACCATAAAAGGGTGAATATCCCCCAAGGACTCATAATCCACTAATAATGGTAATAGATCTTGTATTACAATGCACAAATGACCTCTCAGTCAAACAATTTAATTTTTTCTTCTTGCAGCATGGTTGGATTCACACACAACATAATAATAGTGTTTTTGACACAGTGAGTCAATTCAACCCATTAGGAAAGCAGCATTAAACTCTTTCGCCAGCAAAACAAATCAGTATGACTTCTGCAGTGATTTTCCCCATTCAAACTAGCATCACACTCATCTAAGAATTTCCCAATTGTTCCAAATCATTCTTTTGCCTAGTAAGATGCATTGGAAGCAGATAAATTGCAAATATTAAATAGCTCCGCTATAGAGTAAGTACACAGATCTCCTTTGCTCAATCGGATGACCCCCAGATGTATCAGACTGCAATTTTTATAAGGCTGATATTGGCTGCTTCGCACAGTATGCAAATGACCTCAACAGAAATCAGTGACAGATGTCCCTTATAAGCATATACAGCATTCATGTGGCAAGCAAAGCTACATATCTCAGCCTAGAGCAGATTCTTTATTATCTTAGACGAATCACATAGGCTTACTAATTGATCTCTTCAACAGAATATAGGAAAACAAAATAAAGTAAAAAAAATTGCCAAAGAGATTGGTTTTGTATTGCCTTTTTTAAAAGCAGTTTTATTTTTCTCTAAAAATAAATATTGGAAAACTTGCAGGACCCAATTTAGATTCTTTCTGAAGAGGGAGATCATTGAATTTCTCTATTTAGTCATAATCTAACAATCAACTTGTGTTGACCCAAACAAATGCCATATTTTAGGAATGTATGTCTTTAAATGACCAGGTACTATGAAAGTTAAGAAATGGCAGCTTTATATGACCATTCCTCTCTTGCATCTCATCAGCTGTCCCTCGTATATTGAGCTAAGCAGAATTCCTGCAAAAAAGGATTAGGGAAAAGTAGGATAAGCTACGACTTCTTTCTTTTTAAATATTAAGAAGTACTGGATAAGCCATTTAATTAGGGGGCACTATTAGTCAGCATAGAAGTGTAGTACTGTAAGCTACAAAGGCTATTGTAGCTACATGCTAATGCAACTACAATTGGCCATGAACAGAAAGCTTATGGAACAACCTGCCTTTTTAAAAATCCATTTAGATAAGTCAATTAGGAAGCTTTCAGCAAGGTCTTGGAAAGAAAAACATTATCTACAAGATGACACTATGAAATTAAAATTCAGGCTCCCCTCCTCTTTGAACTGATGTAAAGATCAGACACTGACTGTAAAAATAAAAGAGTGCTCCATAAATAAATATAATGAAATATGTTTATGTGACCTTTGATATAACATGTTCAAGATAGTTTTGTGCCAAGAAACAGAAAACTCTCAGAGCATAATTTCTGATGGAGAAGCTTGGTTGATGGACAGATTTTAAAAGGCAGACTTTGAGAATCCACCATATTGCTAGCTATACAATTCCTTTTATATAAGCCAGGCATGTCAAAGTGTCGGCCCATGGGCCAGACACGTCACGAGGAAACCGCGCCCACCCCATTGCCGGCAATGGGGGGAAAGTTCCAATACGTTGTGCGATGTCACATGACATCATGAGTTTGACATATCTGATATAAGCTACTGAAAATGAAAACACTAAGAGCTGTAGTTTGCAAATTACAGGTAGTCCTTACTATAATTGGGACCAGCAACTCTTGTCACTAAGCAACACAGTTATAGAGCGTGATGTCACATGACTGCACAACTTACAATTTCCAGGACTTCTGATTGCCATCTTTAAGCGAACCCTGTATGCTTGTTAAGTGCAACATCACCTAATTACCATCTGTAACTTTCTGCCAGCTTCCTCACTGACTTTGCATATTGGAAACTAGCAGCCAAGGGCACAAAAGGGAGTCACGTGACCATGGGGATGCCGTGACTGCCACAATTACAAAGACTAGCTGTTAAGTCCCACTTGTTCATGGCCATCATAGCTTCAAATGTTTACAGAACAAGTAGTCACTAAATGAAGATTACCTGTATCTGGAAGAAAGCATTTGAATTTTTAACCAAAATAAATAAAAAGCTAATTATCTATAACTTCCACCCACAGTAGTTGAACAGGATCCAAAGAGAGCTTAAATTTATTTTGTTGATCCAAAATAGTCTTTGGGTACCTAAGGAGCCAACTCTCCCCAATGGGAATAGTGCGCGCCATTCACACCAGTAGAAGATGCTTACTATGGATCGCATCTGCTAAGGCAGTGTTTCCCAAACTTGACAATTTTAAGGCATGCTGTGGAATTCTGGGAGTTGAAGTCCACATGCCTTAAAATTGTCAAGTTTGGGAAACACTGTGCTAAGGAATTCCAGCAGGCGGGTTGGAGAAGAGTCTTTTCCGCTGTGGCCCCACTCCTGTGGAACTTCTACCACTGGAGGTAAGAACTGATCCTACTCTTTCAGCCTTCTGGAAGGATATCAAAACTTGGCCTGGGCCCCTGAGGAAGAGGCTGCTGGAGGAGGCTGACAGGATAAGAAGGCCTCATCCCGGTCCCACCTCTCTGATGGTTCTGATTTCGGTATAGTTTTATAATCATAATCTATGTAGTTTAAATGTGTTTATATTTTAATTATTTCATAACTTACAAGCAAGCAATCATCTTATAGGGTAGACAGGCAGCATAAAAATTTAATAAATAAATAAATATATCTCCAAAAGAAAGATTACTCTTTCCTATTTCACAGCTGCAGCCCACACGCATATCTCTGACGTCTTATCAAAACGCCTTAGACGCGTTTGAAACACTCTTAAATGGTAAATGATAAATTAAGGTTAATGTTTTTTTGCATCTTCTATTACATGTTTCCTATTTAGAATGTCTAATTTATTAAAACATTGTGCAAACATCAAACACAACAGACCTCACAGATGAAAATTAAATTGTAGAGATTTAAGCAAAATCACTTAATTCCAAATGTAAATAATTTATTGCAAAATAGATAGCTATCATATTGCCTATGTAAATTGCAAAAAACTTGGTTTCAAGATTTTTGTTACTTATATTTCATGTTTCTTTGATCACTGTTTTACAGATTATAATGCTTCTTTCAAAAATGTTATATCTGTCTTAAGCTTTCTTCATGGTTTTAGCACATAAACTCTAAATAAATTTGTTGTTAATTGCGAAGTCGTGTCCGACCCATCGCGACCCCATGGACAACGTTCCTCCAGGTCTTCCTGTCCTCTACCATCTTCTGGAGACCATTTAAGTTCACACCTACTGCTTCAGTGACTCCATCCAGCCATCTCATTCTCTGTCGTCCCCTTCTTCTATTGCCCTCAATCTTTCCCAGCATTAGGCCCTTTTCCAGTGAGTCCTTCCTTCTCATTAGGTGGCCAAAGTATTTGAGTTTCAACTTCAGGATCTGGCCTTCTAAAGAGCAGTCAGGGTTGATAAATTAGTCTGGCATAATTTTGATTTATCATAATCCATTATTTAATTTCCATTGTACTAAAAGATATTGTGACTCACATGTTAAAGAAAACTACACAAAAACTAAGCTTCTTCTGCTAAGTTAGCCATAAACCTCCCAACAAGCCAAATACCCAAAGATTTAAAAATGCTTTTTTCTAGCACTCAATGTGGTTGATCTAGGGTTAATCCATATCCTCATCCATAACTATGCAAATAATTTACAGCAGACTGCCATTGGCAACACCCTCTGTGGTTCTAACCTTCTTCCGTTTCTCTATTCTATACTACAAAAATAATAAATAAAAAATCAGCAGAACAAAGACAATCCAGGCCATTTGAGGTTGAAAAGAAATCCCCAAGCTCCCCATTTCTTATAAAGTAGTTCCCATTTATCTGTTCTGAATTAATATGATAAAAGCATGCTGAACAAACCATCCACGGACAGCTGTTCCCACAGAGCTGCAAACTGTAAATCAGAATTCCTCTCTTATCATTCTTTTTTGCATTTTGAATGCTTTTTTAAAAAAACAAGATACCCAAGGAAATTAAATACAGTGGATCAGCTATCGTATATCCAAAACATAAGATTTTCTCTCACTATTTTATTGTTAACCTTTGCGATTCTTTGAACTTTATGATACTTAAGCAACCACTTAATAGGTACTTTTCTGCATGTTTTAATAATTTTTACAGTGAGAAAGTAGTATAGTAAGTATTTGAATGTACCCCAAAGGTTTAACGTTAATAGAATACAATTACTGAATGTTTCATAGTTATTAATGAATTGTATTCTACATTGTTGCAAAGCTTATTTCTCATAATTCAGTGGTTCAGCTCTCTTTGCATTTTAACATTATGTCACTCTCCTTACTGCTTCCAATATACCCAAGGTTAATAGAAAATAGAAAAGTCCATGAGTATTTTCCTATATATGTCGATTAGCCTGTTAAGGTTTCATACACAAAAGCCTCTGTAGATGAGATTAATAATCACTAACTTCCCATCTGATTATCTGCTGCTTTTGCTCTTCATATATATTTAATAACAAACATTTTTAAAAGCTGAAAATATATTGGATGATAATGGTTCAAAGTATCTTTTCTGCCAGGAAACACAAGAATACTGGTTAACTTTCAGGTAAATTATTCACAGTGTTTCTTCAATGACCGTTTGAAGTTAAGTGGTCAACATACAGTATTTAACCTGGCACCCAAAGTTACAGCCATTGCAGATCCTCTGCAGTCATGTGATCAAACTTTAGGCAGTTGGCAGCCCACTGCGCTTACAACTGATCATACATGAAGACTTCCAAAGTCTCCCAAGAAGGCCACACACTACTTGGAACATACAACCTTAGGAAAAAGGCCTCGCGTAGCCTGCAGCTGCAGTGGGATGGCCAAGTCAGCTGGGGCTTAGCACTGGGGCATCTGGCCATGGTGGGGGAACTGAGGCAACACTCCTTGGTGATAGTGAGACTGGCAAACTCAGGGCTGAAATAGAGGCCTGGCAACCAGCTGAAACTGTTGCTGTACAGGGCAGCCAGAAGGACTCGGGGGGGCACAGGTAGGTGAGGGGAGTTCAAGAAGAAGCAGTCTTAAAGAGGCTGCGAGGGACCAAGCCAGGAATGGCTTGGATCGGGGTGGGTCCTTGCCTAATGACCAGATGGCATTCAATGAATGACAGTAATGAGAACTGTCAATGACAGAATAACAGAGTTGGAAGGGACCTTGGACGTCTTCTAGTCCAGAGCTTTTCAACCGATGGTACGCATACCACCAGTGCTACACGAGCACCTGGCTGGTGGTACGCGTAGGACCAGTTGAAAAAAAATGTAAAAAAAAAATTTTTTTTAAAAGTGTAAAAGTGGATGAAGTGAAGCGGCAGCAGCGCCGCACAGGCTTGTGGCAAAGTCAGCTGGAACTGCACGTTGCCTGGGTCCTACTGAGAGCCCAGGATCAAAGCACGCAGCTCCAGCTGATTGGCGGCAGGCAGCCTCAAGCAGTCTTCAGTGGAGATTCCGCTGGAGCTGCACGACGCATTGCCTAGGTCCCCCCGCCCACACCCAGATACCCTCACCTCCCCCAAGCGTTTTTTTACTCACCTGCTTTCAGCAGCACTCCCTTTCTCCTGTCATTCTCAGCCTTCGTAAGAAGTTAGAAAGTCTCATGGAACTTTTTTTTCTTTTTTACAAACACATGGCAAAGGCAGAGAAGCAAACGAAGGCAGAGAAGCAAAAGGAGAAAGTGAGTGCAGCTGAAAGCAAGTAAGTAAAAAATGCTTGGGGGAGGTGAGAGCTCAGGGGAAGTGCCAGGATCAGCGCTCCTCTCCACCTGATCGGTGCTTCTCCGGGGCCATGAGGGCTCAGGGGAAGCACCAGGATCAGCGCTCCTTTCCACCTGATCAGCGCTTCTCCGGGGCCGTGAGGGTTCAGGGGAAGTGCCAGGATCAGCGCTCCTCTCCACCTGATCGGCGCTTCTCCGGGGCCATGAGGGCTCAGGGGAAGCGCCAGGATCAGCGCTCCTTTCCACCTGATCGGCGCTTCTCCGGGGCCGTGAGGGCTCAGGGGAAGCGCCAGGATCGGCGCTCCTTTCCACCTGATCGGCGCTTCTCCGGGGCCGTGAGGGCTCAGGGGAAGCGCCAGGATCAGCGCTCCTCTCCACCTGATCGGCGCTTCTCCGGGGCCGTGAGGGCTCAGGGGAAGCGCCAGGATCAGCGCTCCTTTCCACCTGATCGGCGCTTCTCCGGGGCCGTGAGGGCTCAGGGGAAGCGCCAGGATCAGCGCTCCTTTCCACCTGATCGGCGCTTCTCCGGGGCCGTGAGGGCTCAGGGGAAGCGCCAGGATCAGCGCTCCTTTCCACCTGATCGGCGCTTCTCCGGGGCCGTGAGGGCTCAGGGGAAGCCCCAGAATCAGCGCTCCTTTCCACCTGATTGGCGCGTCTCCAGGGCCCGCACACTCACACACACACAAGCAGCAGTTACAGCTGAAGGCGTTTCAGCCTTCAACTATAGCTCCCATCCTCTGGCGCCTTGTTGGCTCAGGCCAGCCGTCCGTCAGAATCTATGTCCCATGATTGGCTGGCTCCTTCAACGCATCTCTCCATTGCAGAAAGGGTTTGGCTCTTCATGCGAGCTTGCCCCCTCGCGGGGCTCCTGATTGGCCCTGCGCCCAGGCGCCCCACCCCCTGGGAGAAGCGTGCCCAGCAAGGCTTTTCCGGGCTGGCCCTGTCCGAAGTGCACATGGCCAGGGAGCCGCACGAGCAGCCCCGGTATCCCCCCTGGGAGCGGCCCGCTGGAGCCTCCGCTGAGCAGGCCAGCCCTCCCGCAAGCCGCGGCCCCAAGCCGGCACTATCATAGGCCCCTGCAATCCCCAGCCAGCGCTACTGTAGGCCCCGCTGGCCGGGAAGGCGAGCCGGAGTCTCGGCTACCGGTAAGATGATCAACCCGCTCCTCTCCCATTGTCCGCTCTGCCCAGCTTGAGCCTGGCTGGAGCAATGTTGGTACTTCCAAAGGTGGCCACTTCAAAGTCACACAGGCAGCCCTCGGCCGCTCCCCTCCCCTCCGTGCCTCCAAATCGATCCCCAATCGGAGAGAGAGGGAGGGAGGGAAGAGAGGAGAGGAGAGGAGAAAGAGGGGGAGAAAGAGAGAGAGAAAGAGAGGAGAGGGAGAGAAAGAGGGAGGGAGAGAGAAAGAGAGAAATAGAGAGAGGGAGAGAGAGAGAGAAAGAGGGAGAAAGAGAGAGAGGGAAAGCGAAGGAGAGAAAGGGAGAGAGAGGGAGAGAGAGAAATAGAGAGGAATAGAGAAAGAGGGAGAGAGGGAGGGAGAGAAAGGGGGAGAGGGAGAGAGGGAGAGAAAGAGGGAGAGAGAAAGAGAGAGGGAAGAAAAAAAGAAAAAGGAAGAGAGAAATAGAGAGAGGGAGAGAGAGGAAGGGAGAGAAGGAGAGAGAGAGAGAAAGAGGGAGAGAGAAAGGGAGAGAGGGAGGGGGAGAGAGAGGAAGAGAAAGGAGAGAGAGACAGAGAGAGAGAAAGAAAAAAAGAGGAGGAGAGAGAACGAAAGGGAGAGGGAAAGAAATAGAGAGAGGGGGAGAGGGAGAGAGAGAGAAAGAGAGGGAGAGAGAGAGAAAGAGAGGGAGAAAGAGAGAGGAAGGGAGAGAGAGAGAGAAAGAGAGATTAAATTAGTAACATGGTTTTTAAATGAATCTGGTTTCCCCCACTAACTTTGCTTGTCAGAAGGTTGCAAAAGGCAATCACATGACCCTGGAACAAAGTGACCATCATAAATATGAATCAGTTGCCAAGCATCGAAATGTAAATCACATGACCCTGAGGATGCTGCAACAGTCATAAGTGTGAAAAATTGTCATAAGTCACTTTTTTCAGTGCCGTTGTAACTTTGAACAGTCACTAAGCAAATTGTTGTAAGTCAAGGACTACCTGTACTTTATCACTTTTTTCCATTTGTTTTTTGGGTCATCAAGTTTTTGACACCTCGCTAGGTGACTGGTGGTACTCGAATGTTGCCATATTCTAAAAGTGGTACAATCGGTGAAAAGGTTGAAAAGCCCTGTTCTAGTCCAACCCCCTATAGCAGGGGTCCCCAGCTTGTGAGCCACGGCCATTTACCAGTCCATGGCCTATTCGCAACCAGGCCACGTGGGTGGGTGGCTGGTTGGTGTGAGCACATGTGCACGCACAGTCCCACTCACACGAGCATCACGAGCACCTGGGCCTCACTCATGCAAGCGCCCAGGGCCTCACTCGTGCAAGTGTCACAAATGCTCTCGGCCTCACTCATGTGAGCAATGGGTGCTCATGAATGTGCACATGCTTGCCCCTCCCACAAAACCATCCCCTCTTTCCCCCTCCCCCTTCCAGTGTGGGATCACCTTCTGTCAAGATTGCCATTGCTAAGCAATGTAGTTATGTAACATTATACTTTAAACTACATCGCTTAGTAATGAAATCCTGGTCCGAGTTACTGTTATTAACTACCTGTAGGTACCAAAAGGAGCAGGAGGTACCAAACAGGAGGATTCTTCTATCTGCAATGGAAACAAAAGCTTGTTGATAGTAATATCTGGCAACAATATCTTGCCACACGGCTGACCCAAAAATTGCTAAGGGAAAGAAACTTTGCACAGAGATGGAAGACTGTACAGATAGTCTTCAGTTAACAATGGTAATTCCAGCAGTTCCTGTTGCCATTGTTAATCAAGGATTGTGGGTCGCTAAGTGAGGATTTGCTTGCAACTTCATGCCAGCTCCCAGCAAGCAAAATCAACTAGGAAGCCAGTATGAGGTAATAAGTCCTGGACAGCTTGTGGGGCACTGCAACAGTCATAACTTCAAGGATTAGATTAAGTACTATTCATTTAGCATCCTCGTAATTTTGACCAGTCGCTGAATGATCATTAACAAAGGACTACCTGTATGTTGTCAACATCTGAATTGTTTTAACCAATGTAGTTTTTTATGAAAAAATGAGAATTTTGGATTGATTCCTATTTAACAAAAATGTTCATGTAAACCTAACAATAAGCACTAGCTCTTAAAACATTTTATACTCCCTCTCTCCAGGAAATAAAAATGAAAGAATGAGTAAAACTGGAATTATGTATAGTTTGTAGAGAAGTGTAATAAAGTTAGAAAAGGGAAATGCTACTCAAGTGCTCAGAATAAACATGCAGATGAGATATACCTTTACATAGATAATTTCCATCACAAATTTCCCAGACTTGACTGAATATGTTGGGATTATAGCTCCCTAATTTCCCATCCAGAATGGCTACTCGGGTATTTGGGGAGTTTCAGTCCTAATGCAAGTGAAAGGCATCAGGTTGGGGAAAGCTGCCTTAATGAAAAGCACAATGCAACTAATCTATTTTTTTTTATCTTTATCCATCTTATAGCCAATTATGCATTCATAATGTTCTATCTTGTGTTTATTGATTATGAAAAACAAACATGGCAAATGGGAGCAAGGAAATCAGATAGATAGGCAAGTGTGATGAATTCACCAGGTAAAGCAATCTAGGCTAGGTAGTTTAGTGCGCTCCAGAACTTTTGGCTTCCAACATCATGCATGAGCAGCCACATCAGACTATGAAAGTTATAGCCCAAAACATTCAAAGGTTATTAAATTGCGCCCAGGCACTCAGTCTCTAGTCATCTCATGACTGGACTATTGTAATGTGCTCCACAAGGGGCTACCCTTGACGATCATTTGGAAGCTGCAGCTGATGCAAAGTGTTGCACTCTGGGTAGTTTGGGGGGCCCCAAGAATGGCCCTTGTAACACCACTGTTCTGCAAGCTGTGTTGGTTACCAATCTGCTTCCGCGTGCAATTCCAGGTGTTGGTGATCACCTTTAAACCTCTTCATGGCATGGGTCCAGGGACTCTCTCACCCCACTGGGATTGGCCCATATGATTCGTGCTGGCAGAGAAGGCATGCTGCGGATCCCATCAGCCCAAGTATTCCGGCTAGCGGGGTCCAGGAGGAGGGCCTTCTCTGCCCTTGCGCCTGCATCTTGCCCCCCCCCCGATCTGAGGTTGGCCCCAACCCTCCTATCTTTTCGCAAGAGCCTAAAGATGTGGCTGTACCAGTTGGCTTGGGGCCCCAGTGGGGGATCAGTGCAATGGAGGAGGTTGGCTGAATAATAACAGATCCCACCTCTCCCCACTCCACCCCTGCCCTCCCCATATGTCTTTTTTAATGTTTTATTGATTTTCTAATTTTCCACGTTGCTTTTCAAATACATTTAAGTATTTGAAAAGCAACGTGGCGGCTGAGTTAATCAATAATTCAATAACATACAAGTAATCTTTTAGTACCAGTCTCAAACTACCACATTAAATATTTCCTCTCTTTTCCCTTAGTATTTACTGTCTCATGTTTAAACTAATACAATTCTTATTATATTAATTAAATAAAAATAGCATTCTTACATTTATCAATAATTTTTAGCTTATACATATCCAAATTATTTTAACATTCAGTCTTTATAGACAATCAATGTCCTAATTAGTTTTTCCCAATTTTTAGTTTCCCATTAATGTTTAAATTTAACATTTAATATTTATAATTTCCAAGTTTTAAGTAACCAAAGTTCCCTTTATCACAATTCATCACAAAGTCTAATATTCAGGATACATGTCTTATCTATTTGAATATATCCTATTTCTCACCATCTTACATAATACAATAATTAATAATACAAAATAATATTCTTATTTTCTATTAATTTCCAAATGTCTTAAATTTAGTAACCAAAATTTCTCGTTTCAACATCAAATCCTTCCTCTCTCTTTCACTTAATGTCTGCTAGTATAGTTCTTATTATATCAGCTAAGTAAAAACATGTTTATTACATTTATCAATAGATTTTTAATTATATATATTTTAATTACTTTTATATTCAACCTTTATAAACAAATCTGGCTGACAATCTGAACTGGGGCTTATTTTGGGGGTGGGGCTTATATTATGAGCATCCTGAAAAATCATGCTGGGTCTTATTTTCTGGTTGGGTCTTATTTTCAGAGAAAAATGGTAGTTCATTACCATTAAGCAAAATTCTTTTAAGATCAGGAGTTATGAGAGCTTGATCCACAGATTTCTTCCTCTCTTTTTTCTACATTTTTCAGTTTTATCTTATTGACGCATAAAATGATTAAGATGTGAAAGAAATTGGTAAATGTTTAGAAAAATCCCAAATCAAGTTGCCTCAATAGGCAAAATTAGTTTTCTGAAATCCATGGAAGTTGAAAAATGACAAATAAAATGTGTAAGAGTCAGAAGAAATAGAAACTGATGAAAGAATACCTCAGAGGAAGACAGACTGATTAGATTTCGTTTCATTGGCAAAACTTGTGTTTTAAGACTTGATTTCATCTGTTTCTTCTTAGATTTTTTTTCCTGCATTATGTATTATGTATACATTATGTCCAAAAAATATGTTTCTTTGTTTTATTACAATGTCTCCTTTTTTTGAACCTCATCTTTTTTGGTGAAGCACCCGGTCTATCAAATATAAATCAGTCTGTTCTGCGTTTTGCTCCAATCTAGGAGCATGTTTTGCAGGCAGACATCACATACTGTGAACACTATAAATTCAGAATTTGTGGCTGGCAAAGAGTTAGTGGGAGACTAGTATAGCTATTTCAGGCTCATTAGCCCTCATCAGCTAGTCACTCCCTACAGGGATTCGAACCTGGGCAGCTTGCATGTTAGGCAGCTGTATTACTCTTTTGAGCCACAGGTTTCCCCTTACTCCAGTCAGCAGAAACCAGGGAGGATATATATCTTGTCTCTTGGGTGAGGCACCTGGTCTACCAAATATAAATCAGTCTGTTCTGCATATACATATACATATACATACATACATACATACATACATACATACATACATACACACACACACACACTTATTGAAATGCAAGTAATCCACTGTCTAGACATGCTATATTTGCAATTTTTCTAGCAATTTTACAAACAACTATATTTTGCATAACATGTTGCATATACCATAAATGCCGGCGTATAAGACGACTTCCGCGAGCGCTGAAATCGGCGCCAAAGACGGGGGTCGTCTTATACGCCGAGTCGTCTTATACGCCGGAAATACTGGTAGTTTCCGGCGTATAAGACAACGTTCTAGGAATGC